TTTTTTTTGTGCTTCATGATGTAGTGATCTGTTTGTGATAGGTGAAGATAACTGTTTCAGTTATATTGATCAAAAAAGAGTCTATTTTTTTTTTGCTTTTCCTGCTTGTTTAGGACAATGAACCTGTTCTTAGATTTCCTCTTTGTAACTCTTTGTGCTTTGCAGTCCTCAGATGAAAAATACGTGAAGAATGTTTATCAGTGGATGATCCCTTTTCTCCACCGCTGTGAAAACCAGTCCCCCGGTCTTGCAAATGCCCTTTTTAAAGAGTATTTAGTAACACTGGCAAAGGAGGACTTGACTCTACCTCTGAAGATATTTCAGAATTCAAAACCTGCTGTAAGTTAAGAGCTCTGTTAACTCTACTGGTTTCTTTGGAAATTCTTGTCCTGAAGAGATTAATTCAGAAATAGAGTTAGTTCATCTAAGTCAGATCATCCTTCTGATCTTTCTTGTTCTCTTGGACCCAGGATTTGTTACATTTTAGGAGACATTAACAAAAAAGTTTTTTACCATAAATTACAGTGCAGCTAAACTGTCCTTGATGAGACTGTCAAATTAATGTAATAATGATTCTAGCCTAGTAGAATAAAAATTATTGAATGGATTCCTCTTTGAAGTAATTTTCTGGTGACAGTTTAAAATAAATTCGTGACATATTTCCTTTATAAAAAGTGGACGTGAAAGAATTTAATGATCTCACTGTTTTTTTCTTGACAAAGTTTAATAGGAGTAGATTTCAAGTTACTTTCCCCTCTCCTGCCTTCCACAGCAAATGTAGAGAATCAAGTGGGGGCCATTAGGATTGAGGTGAGAGTTCAATGAGTAAGGGTTGAAGTTGCCTCCTGTGTGTGTTTCATGATGCTTCTATGGCTTAAATAATTACTCCAGAGCACACAGGCACATATTTGCATGCTGTTGAATGTTCTGATGGACAGAAATCAACCAGCAAAGCACAACCATAGCTCTTTTATGTATATTGGTACTGTTGTACGTATTAAATACGTCTGACAAATGTTTGCAGCAGTTGCCTTGCTCTGTCCTGCACCCTTTCCAGTTCTCAAAATCAGAAAGGGTATAATGGCATACCACTGTTCTTTCAAGCGTCTGCACTGCGGAAAATTAGCCAAGATAGGTTTTGGGTTGTGACTTTACCAGGTTGTTAGCAAGAGACAGTCTAATGGCACCTGAAGACAACTTAGTTATTTGGAGTACACATTTTTTTATATTCACAAGAAAGTTAACTGTTGAATTAGAAACAAGAAATAAAAACCAGTGTACTTTCTTTTCTTATTAGTGTCAGCAAAAAATTATTCCTGATCAGGACCAGCTTATGATTACGGCGCTGGAGTGTATTTACAGCTGTGAGCGAGATGACCAGCTCTCTCTCTGTTATGATATTTTGGAATGCCTTCCACAAAGAGGATACGGGTAAAAATTTTCTGCTGGTTATTTGGGAATATTTTAGAAATATTAAATACAGATGTGAATTAATGCTTTAAAAAGGCTTGTTAAGTTACTAAGGGCAGACAGAGTTACTGGGGTATTCTATTCACCTCTGAGCTGCTGTGACTGTAATTTCTATATCTATATTTTTCTGCTGTGTACATCCTGTAGCAGTTAATGCAGTAAAACAAGAGTTAAAGTAGCAGCCCAGACCAAGGCTTCTGTATTGTTTCTTAGACTTTTATAGTCTGATGAATTGAGACCAAGTGTTAGTGCTGTCTTACTGGTTTTGTTATAATAGTGGCATCTTGCACTTAACTTAAAAGCAGCAATATGTCCCTGTGAGAGAGGGAAGATAGAAAACCTTTTGAGGGACAGGTAATGCTCAAGAAAGTGAAAACTTGAAGAGGAGATATCCTGTGATCTGTGAGGTGCAAACTATTCTTCTGGTATCTTTTACATGAAGGAAGGAGAGAGCCTGAGAAAAGTCTAAGGAAGAAGGATAACCTCTGCTCTTGGGAAAATGAATGACCCTCTAAATTTTAACTGTCTTTACAGCAAGAAGCCAAACAAGTTTAATATTTCCAAGTAAACATATATTTGATTTTAATCAAGGAGTGTGTCAGACTGCTTATCTTCGCATCTATGTAATACGAATTATGAGAGAAAATTTTAAGGAGTATATATATGTATGTATATATTTAATTGTGTGATATCATTTCAGGCCTGAAACAGATAAAACTAACACTCTTCATGATGAAGTAGATGAACTGGAACAAATTCTAAGGTATTTAATTTTGCTAAAATAAATAGTGTATTCTTACAGAAATCACATAGGCATAGCCAAAAAGTTTTTATGATAAGAAGCCAGCAAAAATATTTCTTTTCAATGCTGTCAACAAGATTATTTGTGTAATTTTTATATTCAGAACACAGAAATTTTGAATGGTTTTATCTATTTGAGTATTATAAATCTCTAGAGATACTTTTCTTGGAATAAAACTTTGAGGCTTTGTGTGTTGGTTGTTTTTTCTGTTTTCTTTGGTTTTTTTTTTTTTTTTTTTGCAGGGGACTTTGTTGTAGATTTGTTTGATTGCGGATTTTTTGTTTTGTTTGTCTTGTTTTTGGTGGGGCTTTTTGGGGGAGGGGGAAAGAGGGTTAACCTGAGGAATTTGTTTTGATCTTGATACTCTATAATGCTTTGAGTGATCAAAGACTAAATCTGTGAAGGTATGTCATCAGGTATTGGTGGTATGTGTTTATCCTACTGTATTATTAATATACATATGTTTAAAAAAATGTAGGTAATGTTTAAAAAATGTAGGTAATGTTTAAAGAAATGTAGGTAATGTTACTCTGGCTAATCTATACTGTAAGAGATTTTATGGAGACTGTTCGCATTTGCAGTGCATATTTTGAGAGAGCTTTAAGAGTCAATGCAGAGGAGGCACGGAAGCTGATGATTAGGCTGACAAGACACACAGGTCGCAAGTTAGTATTCCAGGGGGAGTGGGGGAGAAGAGGGGAAGGGCAGTGAGGTAACAGAGCCTGCCTGCCTGCTTTATGGCAGTAGGGAGCTGTGCTGTTCACCCTGAAGACAGTGTGCATAAACACTTCTGTTGAACTGATGATTAATGTCTTTAGTGTTTCCACAGTCAAAAATCTTTGCCTGCTTTCAAACCTGCTTTGGTATGTTCATATTCAAGTAAACAAGCTTAAAATGCATACTGGCTGCAAAATACTGCAGGATGATGAACTGTGAAAGTTAACATACTGTAAAAGAGATCCTTTAAGACCTATTAAATTTTATTGAGAGTGTAGGTTTTGTAAAATAATTCTTTGGTTTTTTTGGTGTGTTTTCTTGGAGCCCGTGTAATTGGGTAATTTATTGATTTTAGGTATTGATTTTACCACTTACAGTCCCAGTATAGTAATTCAATTTTCCTAGTTTAACTCATCTTTCATTTAACTCATCTTTCAACTGTATATTAATTATTAAATAGCTCTTGGTATAAGCAGATAAAAATTTTGAATCCTGGAAGAACCAGCCATAATTGTTGGGTGATTTTTCTTTCTTATTTGAAGCAAATATACAGAACAGCTTATCTATGATGGTAAAGTGGTATTTATATTTTTAGTAGTCTGAAAGCTTTTTAAGACTTTTAGAAACCTCTCTTTAGCAAGATCAAGACAATACCTCTGTAGGAAAAATGTTGATTTTTCCACTTGTGTTGGAGACTCTTTGTTTTGCCACAGTAAAAGCTAATGCCACATGAGAAAATCACTAATAGCTAGAACTAGCTCATGTCATTTAAAAAGGTCTTTTTTTTAATCTGAAAGGCTCAAGATAATGCCAAGAAGCCTTCATAGTGTTTTTCCTAGTAAAAGTTTTGGTAGAGCAAAAGAAGTTGAAGCTTTGTGGATAAATAGAGATCCATAGATCCAGAGGGTCAAGAGTCTGAATACACTTAATTTTAAGAAACAAAATAAAGTTGCAGCTTTATTCTCTTGTGATTGCATGCCATTGATTAGTCCTTTGAGATTGCTTACAATGAACAGCATTTTAATGATCATCAGTTGCTGTTACAGACTTGGTTTTGCCCTGCAGTTCCCAGATCAGCAGGAAGATAGCATTTCCAGTTTCCTGAAGTACTATAGAAAGCTGTCAAAACCTACTTGGGGATCTTGAGAAAGATTGCTTAAATCCCTGTATTATCCCACAGAAAAAGCACTTTGGGTACTGCATTGTTGTCAAACCTTTTTATCCAACAGACCCTGTTTTAATATTAATTAGTATTAAAAGTCTTCTGTATTTGAATCACTTCCAGTTAAAAATCTAATTAAATACTGAAATAGCATTTGAGAAAACTCCTATTTTTGGTGATGGAAATCTACTGCTTTTCTTTAAAATTGTTGTGGAAGCGAATATTTAATGTCAAAAAATATTTGTAGGCAACCGTCTGTTGGTGAGACACAGTGGAAGGAATTGCTCCAGGATATGCTGGACATGCAGCAGAAAGTGTATAGGTGCCTACATCCAGATACTTGCTATGAGGTGAGTTTTGTCTTCTTGCCGACTTCTCTCCCAACTAAGCTACACATTCTTATTTCATATTGTTGCTCACAGGTGTGTAAATACATTTTTCTGTGTTGTTACTTGGTTGGTTACTGCTTTTTTTTTTTTTTTTTTTTACAGTATTTTAAGTAGAAAATTTCTGGTGTTTATTCATTTTATCTAAAGCTTCTCTAATAAATACCCTGTATATCTATCATTAAAATTTAACTTCTTAGAAATTGAGTCAGTTTTGTGAGATTTTTTTACGTAGACACTGTCAAATGTGTTTAGCAATAAACACTCCAGACTAATGAAAATAAAACATTATCTTCACTCAGTCATTTCTTAAACATGGAATTCTGGTTTGATAATATTATCCAAGATCATTATAGGATTATGGACATTCTACTGCTTGCAATTGGAGTAAAATTATGTGAGATGAGAAATCTAATTTCATTGAAGGTAAAAAACCCTTTGCATGTACATAAAGTCCAAACCTATGTGATTAGTATTTACAAAAGATAGGTGTTAGACAGATGTGGCATTTGCTGTGACATATATTGTTTATTTACATTTTCACTTCAGTGTACTGCAGTTTAATACAGATGCATTACTATGTCCCCTGTAATTAGTGTTTATATCTAATATAAACTATATTAGAATTAGAAGCAGGTTTTATTGCAGTTTACAGAATTGCTTATGGCTTCCCCTCTGATTTGCTCTTAGGAGAAGTTTTAAGAGCAAATTAGAAAAAAACAAGGAAAAAGACAATGCTATTCAACTTACGAGAAATATCACTCTCTGTAGTTGTACAGCTAGAAAATCTGCAACATGTTTAATAGTCATGGTTTTGTGTTATGCTGCAACTTGGTATACTTGAAATATTTTTTAAGTGCATGTTAAGAAATTGTAATACTAGAGTACTCTGCAAATAAGGAATTTTCTTTACTCAGATCTTAATGTAAGTTTTCTGTTATTTTTTTAAACTCTGAACTATATGATTAAAAAAGAAACATGACAAGGTTTTGGAAAGAAATGTTGGAGTGCTAAAAATGCTTTGAAATGTAGTGCTGTCATATACAACTGTACTTTGATAATTTCAAAATTTCAAAATTGATGAGGCAGTAAGGATTTGCAATCCCCTATGAGGTCTGGGTATTTTTTAACATGACACTTACTCTCTTCTTCCATGCACAGTGAATTCTAATTGTCCTCTTGACTTCATAAATTTTGAGAGAGGTAAATGTTCTGTGTGTGATCTTAGAGGAGGAAGGGTCAGCTCTGATACTTTGCATCTCTTGCTGTTCCTTGAGGGGTTAATATGTTGTGAAATGGAAAGTGATCTAACTCCGTGATGTTCTTTAAGAAGCACTGAGCTGTTTTCCTTTCCAGAGAATGAGATCGTTTGGAGAGGTTCTTCCTATAAAAGAAATATCCTGAAATAAAATATGATTGGATAGAGTGCTAAATAATCTCATTTATGCCTTCTTTCCCATGAAAGGTTGGACCAGATGATCTTTTGAGATCCCTTCCGACCTGGGCTCTTCTATGATTCATTGATCCTCTTGAATTTGTTACGAACTTTTAAACCTTTCTTAAAGGTCATATTGTTGCTGCTGTGATATTTCTGAAATGATTAATTTTTTTATGTTCATTTTCATTAGGACAGTAATGACTGCACTTAAAAAAAAAAAGCAAATTATTTTTGTAAGGAGTTGAGATTATTTTGAATGTCTTAAATTGGGCAAAACTTTTACCTTGAAATTGATTAGGTGTTTTGTGGCAGATGCAGCATTATGTGAGTTTGCATTCTTTGAAGGTAGTCTTGATTGAAATTTAAAGAACATCTTGCATACTCAGTTCCAAATATTTTTAGTTACTTTAGGTATACAAAATTTTTCTCTTACGTTGTTGGTTTTAAGGTTTTAATATTGAACTGCCATTCGAGATTCTTACAGTGTATTAACACCTCAGAATATAGGTATATTTTGGTGTCTTAAGTCATATTGTAAAAAGACAATTAATATGCTTTTTTTTAAAACTTCCAGTAAATAGAAACTAGCTGCTAGTTAATTTTAGCTTTACTTAAGTGCATTGTAGAAATAACTCCCTTGGTAGAAGTTAGATTTTCTGCTTGGACAGAATATATTCTTTTGGTTTCAGACATCTTTGTATTCAAAGGGGTTAATGCCATATAATGCAGGTAAGTGTATTTAAAGCTGCTGCTCATGCAGGTTATTAAATTACTGTTCTTTCTTTTAGATATTCACAGAAAGTCTTTTATGCTCAAGCAGTATAGACAATATCCACCTGGCTGGGCAAATGATGCATTGCAGTGTTTGGTCAGTGGATCTCCCAAGTTCATCAAAAGGGAAGCCCCAGTACCGAGTCAGCTATGCGAGAAGCATTGAACTAGTTTTGGCTGCTGGTAGAGAATATTTCAATTCTTCAGCAAGTTTGACTGATAGCTGTATGGAATTGGCCAGGTACATTTACAGCTATCATATATATAAATACAACTGGTTTAATATTGTCACTGCATTTATTTGTTAGTGTCTCCCCCGCCCCCTTTCTATTGAGAATCTTTGTTTAAATACCTTTTTAATGCATAAGGGTTCTGTGACCAGCTTTTCTCTTAGGGTTTTATGGTGATATTTCAAAATATGTGGTTTATAGCTCAAATACTTGCTATGAAAATGTGACTGTGTGTTTACTCTGTTTAGTAATATGTTTTGGTCCTCCTGATTTACCATCAATCATTTGTTTCATGGTAACTTAACTCGAGTTTCTCAGAGTGATTACCATGTGTGGGTCTCCTAGTAGCCTTCATGTGTACATTGGTTTATGTAGAATATCTTCACAGAATCACTAGGTTGGAAGAGACCTTCAAGATCATCAAGTCTAACCCAGCCCTAACACCTCAACTAAACCATGCCACTGAGTGCCACATCTAGTATGTTTTTAAACACATCCAGGGATGATGACGTTGCCACCTCCCTGGGCAGACAATTTCAGCTTCTCTTTTGCTCCTTTATTCCACTCCTATTTTAATCTTCACCCTGAAATATTTGTCAATGTGCCTGAAAAATCTGATGGGGTCAGATATGATGTTCAGATAACATACAGTTTTGGTTTTAATTTAAAATGTGTATTCTTAATTAACATGTGGAAAAAAAATAAGACAGACTGGACAAATCAAATACTTTGTTGATTTAATGTGTATGGTGAATTAAACCATTTAAAATCACTGAGATGAGTTGCTGTCTGGACAAGCTCAAGACATGAAGCTCATAAGGCTCATGAGTTTCAGCGAGACCAAGTGCTGGTGCTACATCTGGATTTGGCCAACCCCCAGAATCACTCCAGGCTGGGGGATGAACAGATCCAGAGCAGCCCTGCTGAGAAGGACCTGGGGGTGCTGTGGGTGAGAGGCTGGACATGACCCAGCCATGTGCCCTTGCAGCCCAGAAAGCCAAATGTGCCCTGGGCTGCACCCAGAGCAGCATGGGCAGCAGGTGAGGGAGGGGATTCTGCCCCTCTGCTCTGCCCTGCTGAGACCCCACCTGCAGGGCTGCATCCAGCCCTGGGGTCCCAGCACAGGAAGGACAGGGACCTGCTGGAGTGAATTCAGAGGGATGAAGCATGTCTCGTGTGAGGAAGGTCTGATAGATTTGGGATTGTTCAGCCTGGACAAGAGAAGGCTCTGGGATGACCTCAGTGTGTACTCCAGTACTGCAGCACCTGAAGGGAGCCTGTAAGAAAGAGAAGAACTTTTTACAAGGGCATATAGTGGGACCTAGGGAAATGGTTTCAAACTGGAGGAGAGTAGGTTTAGATTAGATGTGTTAAAAAAAAACCTTTACTGTGAGGGTGGTGAGGCACTGGAACAGGTTGTTCCCAGAAATTGTGGCTGCCCATCCCAGGAAGTGTTTCAAGGCCAGGCTAGATGGAGATCTTGAGCAGCATGGTCTAGTGGGAGGTGTCCCTGCCTGTGCCAGGGGATTTGGAACTAGGTGATGTGTAAGGTCTCTTCCAACCTATGACCATTCTATGATTCTGTGATTTTGCATGTTGATTTTCTTTGTTGAATGTGTATTAGTAAAACTCCATATGAATACACTGTACCAGAATGCAGCTTGTATTAAAAAAAAAATCTAAAACTTATTACAATAATATTCTAATGATTTTAAAAACATTTTTAGAATAATGTTCTCTTAATAATTGCATGCATGAATTCATCTTCAGAGGAATTTAGTGGGGGTTTTTTTGTTTTTTATAAGCTTTGTTTTATTTACTGTACCTAGTTGAGGAAACTGAATTTGTGACAATGACTCTAAATGTTACTTGACTTCCAGTCAAGTTTTTACATTATTTTGCTTTTATCTTCTAGTATATGGCAGTAACAGAACAGAATAGTGGTAGGAGAAGTATTTCCCAAAATTATTATGTATTAAATGTATGTATTAACATACACCTTCAGTGTCGTCTATTAAATTAATTGCAGATCTAAGCTCAGGAGGGTTTAGGTGATGTGCATATAACAACCAGTTGAAGGCAATGCAGAAACAGAAATTTGTTATGATATTTAGCTGTCTCTAAGATACAGACTGTGCCAAACACCTCCCATGTGCAATACAAAAATAGTGAGTATTCTGACATTCCATAAGCACAGTGAATTGCTGCTGGTGGTTTGTTTTGTTTTACTCACTGGTAAACTTTTCCCATAAGTTTAATTTTGAATGTTTTCATCAAATTTCAGAAAAATGTGTTTCATTCTCATTTAGGTGCTGTCTACAACTTATTGAAGACAGTCCGAGTGCTGTTCAGGAGGAGTTGGACCTCATTCGTGCCCTGGGTTATCTGGAAGAGTTTGGTGTGAAAATATTACCACTGCAAGGTACTGCATAATCTTATTCTTTATATGACTATTGAATCACAGGCATAAATGTGCATGAGAAATAGTTACTGTTTACATAAGTGTGATGTGATTAAACTAAAGAGCCCGTATACTGCCTCCAGGCAGTTTACAGACACATAGAAAAAGTAATTTTTTTAACAGAATATTTTAGCTTGTGAGGTAAGAACGATAGTTGTGTATGGTATTTTTTTTTTTCTTTACTTTTATCAGGACTTTAAAGTGGAGAATCAAGTATATGAAACTCCTGGTGATTTGAACAGAAATTGAGCTCATCTTTTATTTGCCAAATAATCTGCACTTCTCTGTGTGCTTTAAAATAACAGGTAGGAGAGAGGTACTTCATGCAGAGGCACAGTTTTCATGTCTCCACTGGGTTTTCATTGTGAGGTATATAAAACCCAATGACAGTGGAAGTGAACTTTTACAAGGTCTTTCTTCTGATGACATGCTGAAAACTAAATCTTTCAGAGCTCTGAGTCCAGTGGAACAGAAAGTTGTTGGGCAGAAGTTGGAAAGACGTTACGATTACGTACAATGAAATTGCATGAACACTACTCATGGAACTGCCTGAGACAAGCACTGAGCCATGAGATGTGCTGATGATAGTGTTTTACTTCTGGCATTGTGTATAGAAATATTAGAATTTATGGCACGCTCTTCTGGTGCTTTCCACTTCATGGAAAATGAAGTAGATGTTCTCAGCGGCTGTTTTTACTTCGGTGTTCTCTTTTTGTTCTCTTTTTTTTCCAAGTATTTGTTCAAGTGAATTGATGCTCCAAGTGTTATATTCAGAAATCTTAAGTTTCTGGACTGAGAATGTCTGATTTCTAGATCTTGCAGTACTGGCCTGTTGATTTCTAAAGTAAAATTATTTTTCAGTCCATTTGTTCAGGCTGCAAAAAAGTGCATGTATTTTCCTCAACTTTTTTTGATGTGGACATGGAGGTATCACTTTAAAAAAAGCATTAACAGTATGTGTAATATAACTGGTCTAGATTAATTAGAATGTGTGAAATCATGCATGTAATTTCATTAATGATTCTGATTATCCTTGCCTCAGTATCTTTCATGTAAGTCAGATTAATCTAATAAGATTAAAGTGATGTTTTCAAGTTTTAATGAAAGCCTTTAAATGATCTGTTACTTTGATAGAATGTCATTAAAATAGCACTAAGGATCAGCTGTTAACACAGCACTACTCTTTTAGCAATAGACTTTTATTTGCAGTTCTGTGTTTAATTTTCTGTAGATTTTCCCCCACTTCACTTTTTAACAAACTTAATAGTTTAAGTTTATGAACTACCATTATGCTATATTGTAATAAAAACTGGTTTGAGGATTCCTTGCTAAAATAAAATGTGAAGTCAAGTCCATCTTTAAGTGTTTGACCCATGGTATTATATCAGGTTACTTTTAGTTGTATTACGTATGAAAAATTCCTGCTTAAATAATTAGTGACTGAAAACATTTTATTGTTATATACTAATATATGCCTGTGATAGAATTTTAAAAGTGAAACTAAAAATGTGACCTTTTCCTGCTCTTCAGTCCTTACTCATTTTAGTCTAATTCCCAGAATTAATAGTTTTCATTATATTAATACGTCTTTTCTCTTACTGAGAGGCCTGATATCCTGTTTTAAGCCAAATATGCTAATGCAGAGTTTATCCCCATGCAGCCATTCACTCTTACTCAGTGTTAAGTGGAATAATCTGCATGCTGTTCCTCTGTGTTCTGAAAACTTGCATAGTATGAAAGCATTGCCTTTTAAAACAGAAGCCTGAAGTTGGCCACCCATTAACTAGCTAAATAGAATATTGGAATCAGTTCATAATATTAAATTATGCAATTAAAACAATTGTTTAATTCTTGGTAAAATCTATTTTGAAACACAGTACTAATTATCAGCTGCTCAGGATATGGTTGACAGAACCTGGTGATTTGCAGACTATCCTTCCACTTCCTCAGGAAATTTTAAAGTAAATTAAAGCTGAAGCATTTGCTGATGACAGATCTCAGATACATCTGTGATGTATCTTGTCCGTGCTAAATAAATGAAATTTAGTTACAACGTTCTAAAGAAAAGTTAAAAGACTGCTAACTGTGTTAGAAGTCCTATGGGATTTTCTTGCAAAAATTAGAATTAAAAAATATTGAACAAAGCTATATCAGTTAATTGTACACATTTAAGAAGAGTGAATGTGAAAACATGAAACAAAAGAGTTTTCATTCAGGTCAGTTTTCCTCCTTTTGCTCCCTTCACAGCCTGACTTGCTAATGATTGGAGCTGGATATCCTGTGGTGTTATTTTAACTTTCTGTTTATAGGTGTAATTGAGGATCTGCATGCAAGCAGCTTTGAGCTGGTTTTCAGATTGTGTTTGCATTCTTATATTCCCCAGCACTCCTTCTATCCTGTGTTGTTTAAGCAGAAGCACAGCAGTCAAGTTCATTTGTACAGTCTCTAAACCAGTTCTGCTTTCAACAGTGCGTTTGTGTTCCGATCGACTCAGTCTCATCAAGGACTGTCTGGCTCAGATGTCAACAAACTATAAACAGCCTGCGAAGCTCCTGGGACTGGCAAACCTGCTAAGGGTTGCAGGTAAGCTGTGTTAGTGAGACACTGAGCTGCAGTGCAGTGAGCATTTATATTGTGCTTTAGGACATTTAAGTTCATTGTCAGAATATGCATTCAAAGATACCACTAAAACATGACCTGGAAGAGCAGTCATTGGGGAGGGATGAGGCATTTCACATGGGTCGAATATTTCATCTGTAAAACAGCTGAAATGGTCTGTTGCTATGTTCTGCTAATACCTGAAATAAAAAAATGCCCTGTCCAGTGTAGAGTTGGAGTAAAGGCTGATCTCAGATTGGAGGAGTTGTGGCTGAGAATATCTTGCTTTACAGTTAATTTGTAGTATTCAAATTACTGTGAGTGTTATTACCTCTGTCAGATAAGGTAGCCTGATGGCTATATAATGGTTGCATTTAAGGTGCAGGGTGAAAAATAATCTGTAAAGCATGAATTTCAGCTGTTAGACTTCAGTCTATGCTGCATGTATGTCCCTTGGGCACTAAAAATAATGCATTGAGTATTCATTTGAGGAGCTGAGCATCTTAAAAAATTGAATCCTGAGGATATTTGAGGGATTTTTTTACAGTTTTTTTTTAATAGCCTACTTAAAGTATCTACCTTTTGATTTTTTTCATTTTTGAAAAATACTTAATCAGTGCAGCTGTAAACACAATACTGCTGTATTTTTATGATGTAGAAATAGAATACAGAAATATAAAATACTTGTATTTTATGCAGCATAGCATATAAAATCAATGCATTCCAGCTTTGTCACTGAACATGCCTGGCTAATTCTTTTCTCCCTCTCTATTTGTGAAATCGTTTAAGATTTTTTTTCTTACATTTTCAGGATTCTTAGTACTGGCAATTTTTTGCATAGTATTATAAATAGAGGGGGAGATACTCAAGACAGTTGTGTGAGGTTGAGAAAAGTGGTGTGGAAATTAGGCTGTTGACCTCCCAAGATACCTTGGTCCTAAGGGAAGTAGTCACAGGACACATCCTTACTCTGGTCAGCACAGTGCTGCTACATGAAAGGTGGAAGAGGGCATGGGATGTACTGTGTTGGATAGCTGGATCCAGTCTACATATTTAATATGTAATCCATCAAAAAATATGAATGGTAGTTGTAACTTCTTTTTCTTTGCTTATAAGGCTTTTTGGAGGAAAAAGAAGTCTCCCTTACTGGTTCATAAGACAGGATTACTGTACAACTCTTTCCATCTCTGTTTTGATTCACTCACATCAAGTTAAAATCTGTAAATTTTTCTTAATATTCTGAGGTTCTTTTGGCTAATGCTACTGATTTTTGTTTCATCTTCTTTATGAATCTAAGGCATTCTCTTTGTGTGAAAGAAGGGAAACCAAGATCCAGAGAGATTCTAAAAAGCTTTGTCCAGTAGTGTTACCCTTAGTCTTAGCCATAGGATTTACAGTGCCCTGGTATGTACTTTGCAAAGGGATCAAACTTGTGGCTCCCATCTCCAGACTTTAGGGAGTTTGTATGGAGTTCATTGATACAGTACTAGTGTATAATCAGTGTGCTAGTGTTATAATCACAGTGACACTTGCTGAGTCACCACCAAAAAGAGATTTAAGAGATATTTAAAGCCAGATAATGAAATGGCTCCCCAATTCTTCCATGCACTTATCAGGCTAGGGAGAAGCACAAGATGAATGTATGAGGTGGTTAATTTTTAAACAGGTGAATGATTTAAAAACTCCTACTTACTCTACTGGTGACATTTATCTTGTGTCTGTTGGGCTCTTTGACTTCAGTGGTTAACCTTGGGAGTAATGCTGGTGGTTGCTCTTACGGTAAGTAGGGAATTTTAGCAGTAAAATTATATTTCAAGAGTGAGTCTTGGTAAGGAATACAATACTTAGACACTTTTCTCTCGTGCTAAATATACAAGTAACTTGGGCACTTTCAAAGTAATCTTTCACTTATAGAATAACATTTATCTGAATGGAAAACACAGCAAGATAACATTTTCAGTAGTGAGTTTCTGTGGTGGGGGATGTGATGTGGTGTTTTTTAAAGTTTGTTTTACGTAAGTAGTTTTAAGCTTTTGTGATTAAAAAACATTTCACTGTCATTGAAGGATGACTAGTTGTATACTTATATTGGAAAGCTATTATCTCTAGAGAACATTCATTTATGAGTAAGATTCGGATTTGGTATGAGAATGCTGTAGTTGTGAATTTTATCTAAACTTGATTGTTGTCTTTGAGATGGTCTATTGAAAACGGATTTATTTAAGGAACTCAGTATTTTTAAAATGTTCTTGTTTGCTTGTTTTTCTGTATTTGGAAGCTGTAAACAGCATACCACTGTTACTGCAAATTTTTTTGTGCCTGACTCTCTAGGCCATGGACAAGTATCTAGCCCATATGATAAGCAAATAGGCGTTTCCTTTGTATGCCTGTTGCCAAGTAGCATACAAAGGAACCATGATTGTCATCATTTCAAATCATGCACGTAAATACAATATTTTTCCAAATTATTTAAGAAAGGCTGTAGAGAGTTACTCTTAGGTCTTCTGTGTGCCTGTGCTGAGTGGTAGAATAGGTAACCTTGCACTGAATTTAAAGAGTCTTACAATTAGAATAGCTAGGTTATTATCTTTGAAAACAGATTTTAAGTGTAATGCTGGTGTAGCCTTAATCACAGTCTGTAATGAGGAGCGCTGTATAATTTGATGGTAGAGATTAAGAACGTAAATTGAAACCAGACATGTAGAAATGGTGTTTATGTACCTGTGAACTTGTAATTTAACTTACCAAGGTACAATTAATTATTAATATTATTAATACTATTTTTAATATGATGAAGAGTTAGGACTTGGTAGCCCTGTTGTGAGACAACAAACATTACTATAATTCCATAACTAAGTTTATAGACAAAAAGGCAGATCATGCATACAGATTCTAAAATTTTTGAATATTTTATTTTAAACTTAATATTAGGAAAGGAAAACCTTCCCTGCAGTTTTAGTACAGATGGTCTTTATTTGCAGGTGTAAAACTACTGGGAAGGGGTACAGTGATTTTTAACAGCTTACAATTAAAACAAATGGTTTTATTGAGATATTTTGGGATGGGTCTGGATATTGAAAAAGGGGTTTGAACTTTATGGACTTAATGAAGAGTTATATAAAATGCTGCCAGAAGAAAGATTGGATTTTTGTTCTTAATTGGTTTTCACTGCTTATATAATTACCCTGATCTATAAGCCATCTTTGCTGTGTAAGAAATTCTGATTTTGTCCTCTGGAACATACTTACTGGTTTATTGGTTGTGCATGTTTGAAATTGTGGTACCTTCTGTTTCAAATCCACTTTGTAGAGTGTTGTGTTGTCTGCTCAGTGGAGGAATTTGTTTCAGTATTTTCCCCGCTTTGCTTCCCCTGCCACTTCACCCTGTATAATTACTGATAGGGAAAGATCTGCTTGCTCCATTTGTCCATGTCTATGGAAATTTTTTATGTGTGTGTCTATATATAAAGCATATGCTATGTTTTATTGTATGCAATAGCCTATAAAATCCTAAGAACGTACATATTTTAATTAAAATTTTAAAATAATGCATTTGTTGTGGATGCAAGGGTAGATTGCACAGAGTCATTATTAAGGAGCTTTGTGAACTATGTACTCTGAATACAGTTTGCTTAGAGAGCAGCACTGAAAGTGAGTAATAGAATTTATATTCATACTTATCAAAGTTAAAATCTTGCTTAGGTAATGATATATCAGCCAGCTCCTTAATTGCTTTTAAGTATTTGATTAATTACAGTGAACTCTACTTAAGCCTCATGTCTACCTCTGTAAAGTAAGTCCACAACTGTTATCTTAATTTCACAGATGGGTAAAGTGAGTGAGGGAGAATGTGCTCAGCATGACAGCCAGAAAATCAGCACATGCTCAGGGAGCTGAAGCTGCCCTGTGTCTTGCAATCCTCACTTAATTCATGCTCTTTGTTAAGAATGGGTGTAAAAATTCACTTCATGCAATTACTTGAGTAGATGTGTGCAAAAATAAAAGTAGGAAAAAAAACTTCTGTATTAGAAATCAGTAGCATCTTCTCTACTCTTATAGTATATCAAAAAGATCTGCTGAGTGTTGGTCATTATTTCGTTTGTCAGGCTCTTTGGAAATGTTTTCATTATTCTCTTTTCTCACAACTTTCTATGAGAATTTATTTAATTTTAATATTAGTAAGTGAATGTAGTAGCTTTAAACTTTGCTCAGATCCCTTAAAGCTTATTTTTTAAATCCATCTTCTTAACACTGACTTTCTTCATTTGGAATTAACCATGTAGATGGCTTCTAATCTCCTAGATCTTCTAAATCTAGGTGACATTGAAATTCTGAAGTGTATGTACAACACTGATATCATTTGACTTCTAAGTTTTAATGGTATGATTTCATTCAGGATAATGTTATTTTATCCACTCACAAAATATGCATCTTACCCAAGGTATTTCAGTAAGCTTTTTTCTTTATATAATCCAGATTGCATCCAAGCTTTTAAAAAGTATTTGAATATCCTTTATTTCTCAGGAAAAAAAATAAATTTTTTCTGAGCTTGCATGTTTTTTCTCATTATTTTTATTAGAACCCCAGAATCATTTAGGTTATCCCCTAACACTTTCCAGCTTCTGGATTTGATTTGAGTCTGTATGTCAGGTGTTAGAGGCTTGAAGCAGAATTAGTATGTTATACAATCAGGTCACCTTTTGAAGAATTTTGTCACTCCTATCTTGGTTTTAAGTCACAGATAGCTGTCAGAGTGGCAAGGGAGACCGTTTAGAATCCAAAACTTTGCCTTTTATAAGACTTAATTATTAACATGCCATCAAATGATGTGTTAAAAAGATGAAGCAGTGAGTTTTTCTATGTCTGAATAGAAGACAACAGCTAAGCTGCAGCAGTGAGCATTATCAGTCACTGCATGGTTAGTAAAAGGTGTGTGAAAAAGGGCTTCACTCAGGCATTCACTGAGTAACACTGGAGCCAGTTTGTTCTGTGCCATAGCAGTGAATGCCAAAGTATCAGAAGTGTCAGTGAGTGGAGATAGGATGAGCAGGTATAGCCATGAACTGGAAGGAAAGTTATCTTTTTCTTGTCTTGTGCTTTTGTAAAATGTGCAGAGGTGTATCCTGCTGCACCAAAAGTCTTTGGCTGGAACACTGGGGAAGGGGGACTTGATAATATACAGCTGCTCAAGCATTCCTTGGTCCAAATGCTCTTCCTTTCTTTCTTGCAAGCCCACTGATTTTTAAGTGGGCATAAATAGCAGTGATTATTTTGTCTGAAATCTCAGGAGTAACAGTTTGATTGTTTCTCTTGACTTTCGTGTCTGCTGCTTAGTCAGATCTCTGTGTAAGAAGTCAAGCTGTCAGGGTGAAGTGGGCATCAGGGGGTGTGTGGCAAGTACGTGTCCCTTGCTTAGAGAAATGGCAGTTCACATTTAGCTTGTGAGGATAGAAGCACATCTTTGGCATCTATAATTGCTTTTGCCCTAATGAGAGGTTCCCAGGTTCCAGAGGGCAAAATTTTGCAACAGGAGAGCCTTGAATGTGATTAATTTGCAACTTGGAATGCTGGCAGTATATTGAGTAGGAGACAGGAAGATAAAATGATGGGAAGCTAACCTGTTCTCCCAGCTGAGTTAGTCGTGATGTGCGGGGATTAGGGGAGGCTTGATTGAGTTCAGTAATTAGGGTACTTCACTTGCTTGAATGTCATTGTAGTGCAACTGCTACAGCTTTCTTTTTGAGAAAGCTTTAAAATTTGCTTTGTCTGTGGTGATGGATCTGCAAAGTGGAGCTAAAAATAACAGCTATGCAATTTAAGAACATGTACTCTTTAAATGGTTTTGGAAACTGGATCTGTTTAACCTTCTGAAATATTTGCATTTCACAAATTGTAGTAATACAGTTTCATAAACCAGTGCCCTTTTCAAATGACTGTAACAACACTGACTGCATAAAATTGCTTTTAATAATAGAGGAGAAGCATGAGCAAGAAGCTTCCATTTAAAAAAAATCTGCTTGTTTTTATTCTAAAAATTCTTTCCTAAATTAATAGGGTATTTTTCCTGTGCATGGTTTGTCACCTTCTCATACAGTGCATGGACAGACATAGTATTTTGAGCAAAAGATTGGACAAGCTACTGCCAGCAAATTGTTCATTCTAAACTGAAAAAAGCTTAAAAAAAATACAGATGACTAGTGAAGGTATAAATGTTATTTGTATTGACTGTAACTGGCTTTGGAAAGTTGATGAGCTGTCTCATTAGATTTTCATCTGTGAATGCTGATGTATTAAAATTGAGGTCAGGACATTTTTCTACAAAGTTTCTTGATGAAACTTTAGTCAGAAGGCTTCAATAGTATCTAAAGTGGAACTTTAGATTCCTAACTAGTGGAATAGGCCTTGTCTAGAAGGTGTGGTGACTGAGACAGATGTATGGTGTGGAAAAATTAGTTTCAGTTCTACTCACTCAATTTATGAGGTTAGGGATTTTTAAATGCTTACATTTCTGCATCTTGTGTCATTTGGAGCCATGAGGTGGCAGTTTAAAATGGGTCTTTATATATTATAAGAAAACAAACATTTCAGTTTTTTTCTTCTATTACAGTACATACACTATTTTTTTCAGTGTCAGGATTTTGATTTGTATATCACTTAGCTTAAATATCAGTTTTGATCTATGCTTTAGCCATCACATAAATTCAGTTTTCAAAACCTTTGTCTTAACCTTGACATAACATGCTAATTGGCTTGGGGTTTTTTACAAGCTATGGTGCCAATGTTTATTTTTTAAATACTAACTCTTTTTATTGTTTCCTTCAGGAAAAAGCAGATAATTTTATTTCTGTTTCAGTTTCAAGAGGGGCTTTTCATGTTGTGGTATATAGTTAATTCTAAAGAAATAAAGTAGCAAGCTTAAGTTGACCATTAATTCCAATCAACTAATAAGAAGTTTGATTTTTTTTCTTATAGGAGAGGATCAGATGGAGAGAAAAGGACAAGTTTTAATCCTTTTAGTGGAACAGGCTCTCAGTTTCCAGGACTACAAAGCAGCTAGTATGCATTGCCAGGAGCTCATGGCCGCAGGTGAAGTGAATAAACAGGGGATGCATGAGGTGATGGTGGTGGAAATCTGAGTTCTGACTTCTGTCTTACTGTGACTTGTGGTATTTCAGACTATTCCATTTTGTTAGAAGAGCAGTTACATCTCATTAGTGCAAGTGCACTGACATTGAATAGAGGCACATAAAGCAAATACTGCTTGGAATAAGTGTGTACTGAACTATTGGAGCTTTTCTCAGGGAGCTTTTCTGTATGCCTTTGGGAACCACATTTTCTACTTCTTTCTATACTGTAGCCCTCTCAGACAGGTAAAACCATGTGACTGCAGCTAGCAGGAAAATACAGCTCTTTTAGAAGCCTACCTTTCTATCAGAACTCTTAAGATATTTTTATATTTGTGCTATTTATATGATTTGGGTATGTGAAAGTATGAGTGGAGGTAAATGAAATACATGTGTCAAAATACTAAGGAGGATGGGATTTGTTTCTTTGGTTCTTTTTTTCCTCTTTGAGAATGAGGGGGGAAAAAAATCAAGATTTATTGAGATTTTTTTAATATATCAAGTGATATATTTTATACTTTGTTTTTTACAGCTACTCCAGTAAAATGTTCAGTATCATGCTCTGAAATTAATTATTATTTTCTTATTGTAATATGTAGAAATATAGGATATAAGCTTACAGGTGGCTATTTTATTGTTATCTACAATATTTTAAAGATTAGTCTTCTATGTATTTGGTCAATCTAAAATTGAGCTCCATCTCTGTTTTATAAAAGGAGCCTTTATGGTTCCTTTCACAGGGGATGCTAAGCCTTGACAGGAATACCACATACCCTCCTTTGTCTCATCCAATAATGATTGGGTAGCACTGCTGGCAGTCAGCAGCTCATTGCAAACCCAGGTACCTCTTTCTGGGGCTTCTTTCATCAAAGTTCAATGCCTGCCAAAGTAAAAGGGACTTGGGCTCATTTTCAAGTTTATTCCCTTAATTTCTACCTTCCAGTATATTTATATTTATATTTGTTCTACTCCACTCTTCTACTTTCATTGTTATTTTTCAGCAAATGAGGTCTCTTTCTAAGAAGTTTTGTGTGATGAGTTGGTTTCTCAAGTAGAATTGCAGTTGTGTTCTCTAATACTTTTAATTTCTTTATTGATTGCCTGATTCAAACATTTTATTTGCAAATTTAACTGATGATATTTTAAAATATTTTTGTTATTTATACTTTGTAATGCAACTTCATTAAGTGCCCACACAAATATCTATTAAAGGTTTATTCTGTGGTTGTTATGATCATTACCCAATATGCAATGAAATTATTTTCTCAGAGATTTCAATGATGTAATGGTTTTAACAACTACAAGAGGTTTTGTGCCTGAGCAATCTTTATTAACTCTGCAATGACTGGCTTGATAGAATCACATCTTAAGTGTTGAGCTGATTGCAGTATATATGTAAGAACACATAATTGAGGTATTTAAATACAACTTATGTCAAGGTGACATAGCAAAAGTTTTATTTAAAACTGAAGGGCAGTAATTTAGATTGTCAAAATGTTAAATTTTTGTTCCCTGTAATTGTGGCATGGCCTACATACTAGGACTTGTTTGAGTTCATAATTGTCTTAGTTGTCTAAGAGTCCATTAGATTTATAATTGTGTAATAGAAACATCTTAGAGGTCTTTGGATACAGAATGTGAGAACGGGGAAGGGCGTCATAGCTAGAGCACATGTGCAGCCTGGTTGACAGCTGCAAGTGTGTAGCCTTTTCCTTAAAAAATCCCCTGAACAGTAGTGTCTATGAGAGTACAGGCAACATGTGAAGATGGAATTTCAGTGCAGAACTTCTGCTCACAAAGCCTCTGTCCTGTGGAACACCTGTCTTTGTGGAGTTGCCCAGTCTCAGTTCAGACTGTGGATGTTTTTATGATATTTCTTTACCCTACGTTGTACAGCATGGAACATAAAATTAAAAAAAAATAAAAAAAAATAATTTCTTAGATTATGGGAAAAATATTGCACAAAATTCATGGAGAAGGGAAGGTAATTTTGTCTAGTGACTACAGCAGTGAGAAGATGTCAGAGATGCTGTGGTTTCTTTGCATCTTCTCCTGCACTCTTTTCTTTCATAGAAGCCTTTACATCCCAGTTTCTTGGGTTTCCCACAAAATCAGTTATAATTCTTTCATTGGCTTATTTGGCTGGCAAGAGATAATATTTATTTCATGTTTATAGATTCTTTATGAGGCTGTGAATTACCAGTTTCTTCCTTCTGAAGGAGGTGAGAATTCAAATATCTCTGGGCCTTTGTTGGTCAGTAAGGATACAGAGGTAAGTTTTAATGTGAATTTTAAAAGTAATCATAACTTTGTTCTACATTACTCTGAAGAACCAAATTTGAATTTTTATCAACATCTGTCTGCTTACTAGATAAAATGAGCAACATTAGACATTTACTACTTTCTGTTGTTAGATTAAGTTCGAGGTTTTGCTTATGTATTTATACTTAGTTCTGATTTTTAGTTGCTTCTTCCTACACAGTCTTAGCACCATTGAAAAAAAAAATTATAAACTCAGAGGCAGGAAAAGTGCAACAGAACTTATGTTAAAGTAGACATTTATATATATATATATATATATATTTTAATCTGTCCCAGTTGCAAATCAAAAAGTGTTTGGAATTTAACTTTTTTCCCCTTAGTTCTGTGCATCATGAGGTTTATGACTTGTTATTTTGTAATGTTCATTTGTTGCATGTGAAATTGGTTTCATGTGTGAGATCAGAAGGAATATTGAGTGTTCCAGAGGCAGGACAACAGGAAACAAGTCTTCTATTTTTCTTTCTGCTTTTATGTCTATTATTTTATGTCTGTATCTGTACAATTTCAAGTACTTTTCTCCCTTTAAAGATGTAATTATTTACCTATTTATGAAAACAGGAATGTTTTTCACACTCTCTGAAGTGGAAAATTCTATATTTAATTTATTCTTTTTCCTGTTTCATCAAATAAGTGAGAAATAAATAAATCTAGGGGTGAGGAGAGGTAGTTAGAAACCTTAAAGAAATAAAGAAAAGAAGAGGTGAAAAGGGGGTGGTGAAAGGGAAGCAAAGAAAGAAGAGAAGGTTCGTGTTGCATAAGGTGGCTTTTTGAGCAGTTGTGATTTCCAGCCTCCATGGAGAATATGTCCATATTTTGTGTGTGGTTTTTATGTATGTACATGTGTGTATGTGTATATAAATATATATGTGCATGAATATGTAGACATACATGTACATGTATGCATTTGCATATATATGAAATTAATGGCAGGAAAGTAAAATAGCACTGTAAGTAGTATTCAGAGGAAGAGGGCCAAGAAACATCAATATTAAGAACAGGTCTGCTTCCCTGGAACAAATGCTTTTTATTTTCTGGAAATCTGTAGATGCATCTCTCTGAGTGGGAGGTTAAGTAGATGTTAATAAAATTGATATGGGTGTGGATGCATATGTTTACAATATTTTAATGTCTATAAAAATTTGTCATGCATCACCTTTCATGTGCTGTAGTATTATATTGTGGCAGAACAATTAGGCATGCATATAAATGATTAAGAAATTTATTCAAAGGTTTATCAGAGTTGAGTAAACTCACTAATTAACTTCGCTATCATTTCAGTTTGCATATTGGAAGCAATTTTCATTATGCTGGAGAATTGACATTCAAAAATTTCTCCAACATAGCTTTCATTCCCCCTCCTTCTTAGTTGTGGTTGATTGTCTCTTTAGAATTGGAAGTAGGTAGACCTGGCAAGTTTATATGTTGCTGCACTGAGGTGTATTTTCTTTTTGTTTAATATGGCTCCTTGGCATGTTGTGTTTCAGACTGTTACACTAGGAAATGAAGTTCTGTATATTTGCTAATTCTTTCTTTTTGTTCTCTCCCAGTTGACTTAATAGGGATTTATAGCTTTTTTCATTTCTTGGAATGACACAGGAGGAACCATAGCCAAAAATTTACTCACTGTATAACTTATCCTTTGTTACAGGCATCTGCAGTGTTAGAAAAGCAATATATTCAATAACTCAGTTTCTCTGACCTCACTGAATCCCATAACTGCAATCCGTGTAGTTACACTTCATCTAATTCCTTGTGCTTCACCTTCATTGTCACAGAATTTTAGTTTCTTTAAAGAAAAAAAAACAACAAACTGGAAGATTTTTCTTGTATTCCTTTCATTTTTACTTATATCCTGATTAATTTACAGAATCCTTATTTGAGGAAATTGAAAAATGTTGTTCTTCTTCACTTACTGATACCTTTCCAAATTGGTGCTCTAAGTTTTCTTATCTTGACTTGATTAAGGTCTGGCATACATGTGTTTGGGCATCACTTTTTGTATTGCATTCAAAATACCAATCTGTAAGTATATCAGTTTTGCTTTTTAAACCTTTAGTGACCTTATTCTATCCCTCTTACTTTCACCTAGCATTGAATTATTAGTCTCCATTACCATGCCTTTATGCCAACCAGCATCACCAGCTGGTTATACTTCTTCATCAGTTTTTTCTTGGTGAACTCTTCCCTAGAAATTTCTAATAAAATTTCATTTTTGTTAAATTTTTCCTCTAATTTTTTTCCCTTAAAACTCATAGAAATGTTGATAGGAGCTGGCTATATGTATACTGTCAGCTTGTCACTGTTGTTTGAAGTCCTGGAATCTATTTGAGAAGTTATTTTTTGGAAGCTGTGATGATTCCAGTGTACCAGATTGTTTTTAAGCAAAATGTTAAGTTTCACCAGTCCTCATCCTTTTTACTGCCTCATCCTTTTTTACTTGTGTGTGCTACAAAATGCCTACACAACTAATCTTGTGCTTCTCAACCAAAATATCTTGGTGAGAACATTATGGTCTTGATTAAGGAAAAGCCTTTCAGAATATTAATGATAAAATATTAAATTCAAATGAAATGCTTAGTCATGAGATGCTGTGTTGTGTGTAAGCACAAAACAATATTAATCAGTTGCCTTTTAAGTGAGCTGTGACTTTGTTAAATCTGCATAATATTTAAAATATGTTTACATCTGTTAGAAATCATTATTTTTTACATATCGGAATATGAAAGCATAATTACTGTAAAGTGGCACATCAACCCAAGAGAAATTAAGTTTAAAGTTTTTTGAAAATGAACTCTATAGAAAAGCAGATGTATTTTCTAGAGGAGAATATGTTCAAATTATAAGAATGATTTTCTTTAAGGCTTCTTAAGGAAAAGAAAAGTTCTGATTAAAAGAAAATTAGTGCCTTTGCTTTTCCAGTTTTCCCAAACACTATATCTGGGAAAAGACAGGATCTCTTAGAACTTTTGTTTACATTAAATTGGTAGGTCATACATTTTTATCACAGTTTGTTAGAAATTATCAGAGAATCATGATCAGTCATCCTCTTGTCCTTTAGCTGCTGCCCCAAAATGTCAAGTCCTCTGTCAGACCTGCAGATGTTAAAGCAGCTGTCTTAATTACTGCTGTAATCTCAGGCAGTCATCAAAGGCTGTGTTTCAGCAGCTGAATCAAATGCATTGTGTCTGCTTAAGGCTGGGTTACTTCTTTGTTTCCAGTGATGTTATGGCCCTAATAAGAGCCTGAACATTCAGTGACTCCTGAATATTAGTGTTGTCATCTTGAGCTGAATCTGTTCCATAGTCTCTCATTTAGGCTCTGGTTGTTTCATCATTGCAGAACTGAAGTTTTCACTTTGACTGGTTCATAGCTGAAACAGACATTGAAAAAAAAAATACAAAATCCCCAGTATAAAACCCTCTAAGGCATAAAAATGTAGATTCTACACGAATGTAGAATGCACAAAAATATAGAATCTACATTAATACTCACGTAAGAGACTATTTTAAATTCCTGTTTGGCAATGGGAGTACCAAAAAGGGAAAAGGAAGAGACCTAATGTGTGATCTTCTGTTTTCGAACAGACTGTTCTACGTCATTTCATTTCCTTCATAGTCTTGACATATAATGATTCTTAACATATAAAAGTGTGTGCAGTGTATAGTTTTTGCCCATTTTAATCCTTGCATTTTGATTAATTGTCATTAAAGACCAAAACCAATCCTAAGATCTGTGCTGCTATTCTAGTTTATTACTGTCTTTTGTGTGGCTTCTCGCAAAAGCAATTGGCTTTGTTATTTGTCCTCTCGTTAGACTGTTTGGAGTTATACAAGTGTATGTGGGAGCAAAGGTGTATGTATATAAGTATATGCTGTATATATATATATATGTTTAAAAATATTTTATCAAGAGCAACTCGATAATTCAGAATTTGGTTGTCTTTTTGATACCATTTAGATTCAAGCAGATTTTCAATCTGCGAATTTGGCTGCTATTTAATAAGTTGCTCTTGCTTTATTATTTTGATTTTAATCAGAAGTGCTTACTTTTATAAAGGATGTCAGGAAGAATTAATAGAAGAAAATAATTTCCCCCAAACACCTCTCAGAACCCCCAAACTGTAACTTCTCCCTAAAGATACAATAAAACTATACAATTAAAGTTGTTTTCTTGAGATGAGTTCTCCAACCTTATTTAACTTCTTTTGTGGGAGATTGATTTGGGATAACAAAAAGTTGTAACCTGGCTCCAGGTACAGAGTAAAATGGCTTCTCAGAAAACAGAATTTCTGTTTGGGCTGAAAAAACTATAATTACTTGTAAGAGTTGAAATTATTTTAAAACAAAAGTTAGTAGAGTTTATCTAGCAGTAGTACCATAAGCATTCACGCCTGCATACAAGTTAGCTCATTAATTTTCACACTGCTGAAGGAGATTGATTTAAAGAAATTGTTTTGCTCAAATGCAGTTGACAGCTTGGATGGGATTTTTTTTTCTCATTCTGTTTTGGTTTGGTTTAGTTTTCATTTATTTTTTCTCCATGAGAATTCAGCTAGGTGTTTTGCAGCATCTCCTTGAAAATGGTGGCAGAGGAATTAATATTAGTATGTAACATTTAAAATAAATTACAAAAAGCTGTCTTACTAAGTACTTAAAGTGGTTTATTTAAAAAACACAGGAGCAAGAAATTTGCACCCCAGGCCACCAGATCTAGGATTTTCAGTTGGTTTTAATTTTTCAGAGGAGCAAAAATTCTGACAGGTTGCACTTGGCATGCACTTTGTTCATTTGGTGAAGTAAGAGCCAAAATTCTCAGTTTAGCCGGTTGGTTCAGTAGTGGTACATCTGTGAAATACACAATATGATTTCAGAAAAGATTGAAACAAATGCTGAAGGACTTAAGATGAACCTGCTACTTAAATGGTCACCTTGAGGCAGTAACTTACTGTACATTATAGTAAAAGGTACTAAAAATAAAGTTTTCTACATGAAATTCCACCTTATTGAAGCTGATACATTTTTCCTCTGAGATTACAGTGGGATGTATTTCTCTTTAGCATAACTTGGCATCCTTTGGCTCTCATATTTAAATTTTGTCATGAATTAATAAGTTGTAAAGTAATACTTCCCATGCAGTTATACAGGTAGAATTTTTCAATATACTTCAGTATACAGGGAAATTAATAGTAGACTCATTTGGGATAAACATATGGCAGTTAAAGTTTGCTATATGGAGGAAAACACTTGTTTTTTATTGCAAAAACAGTGTGTTTATCTTAGTATGCTAATTATATGTTTATGACTAATATGCACACATTGTAAAGCATGCAATTAACACCAGCCTTTGAGAGCTGGAACAGCACAGATCAGACAACATGGGTATTATTGAAATGCTTTATATGAGGGAGAGCTAGTGCAGAGAGCCCCATTTGTCTCTACTTTTAAGAATGGAGTTATGTGTGAGTTCATACTAAGTTAAGGTATATGTCCATGTATTGCAGAAGCAGTTTTTGACCGAGAAGAGGTTGGGGTTCTTGTAGTGTTTCAGACTGGCTGTTCTCAGTGTTTTGTGTGCCAGCTGCAGAATTTCAAAGCTTGATGATAATTTATCACTTGGTCTAGAGATGTGTATTTGCATCTCTACCATTTCCCCTATTAGGAATTCAACTTAATTAATGCTACTTCTGTAAAATTATAAAACATAAAACTGTCTCTACTATCAGCTTTCTTGAATTACTGAAGATTAAGTTTGTATACTCGATATCGCATCTCGCCGGATCTGATCTGTCCCTGTCACTTGGGCCTGCGACAGGAGTGGGTCACACCCCAGGAGCAGGATGACCCGAGGTGTGACTAGAGCACTTGCTCTACGGCTTTTTGGCTGTCAGTCTGGGCTCTGAGGAGACAAGGACGAGAGGGAGGTCTTTTGCATGGGATAATAGAGGATTTATTGCTCTGGGGAATCTTGGGGGCAAAAAAGAAAATGTGAGCATGCAACAGCTGAAATATGGAGGCGGTTCAAAGGGAGGGTACAAAGCATCAGCTAATCAGAGATATCCTGGGGAGGGTAAAAGGCAGGGTTCACAAAATCATCATCCAATGAGGGAGGTAATGGAGGAAAGTTGGGTCACATGGACTAATCAAGCATCGAAGTTTAGGGGATTTCCAAAGTGGAGTTCCAAGCATGTGGTGGGCCTAAGACAGATTGACAGGAGACTCAGGGTAGATTGACAACATGGGGTGGGAGGGCCTCAGTCAGACCAAACCATCAACTTATGTAATAACAGAGCATACCATTAAGAAGAAACATGCTGCAATAACTCCATCCTCAGATTTGTAGAAAGGTGATTATTTTAGTGGAAAAGTGGAACTAATAATAAATTAGTTCATTTATGCAGAACATTGTCATTATAAGCTTTGGAATTAAAACCAGTTCTGTCTGTGGAAACAAGGGGTGATAAATGAGTAAGGGGCCAAATGTTCTACTGATCACACCGCTTACTTCACAGTGGAACTCCTAAATCACTTTTAGTTTGTCTTTATTTTTGGCAGCTGCTAGCTGAATTAATGATCATTCAAATGTATTTTTAATATAGTGTGCCTGAACTCTTAATGCATTTGTTTGGCTTTAGGGCATTAACCTAATTATAGCTAACCCTTGCATTGTGTGTTGGATATGTCACAGGATGAAACTGACGTCTCCTCTGGCCAGTCTGCCGATTTGTTGTACTGGACGACATCCAAAACCATGAAGGTGTTGTCCAACACAACTCTGACTACCAAAGCCATGCTACATGCTGTCAGTGATGGGCAGTGGTGGAAGAGATCATTAACTTATCTGCGGCCATTACATGTAAGGGATTGCTGATGTGGCTCCAAATGTTTACACAGCTGTGATACATTAATGTAAAAACTCAGCTCCTTTGTGGGACCTGACAACTGAAGGCCTCAAATCAGTAAATGAACTAAAGACATCACAGAACTGTTGGAAATCCCAGTGAAGGAAGGGGTCTAAAGCTGTTTTCTAGTCCGTTTTGTCCTGTTTTCTTACCATAGTGTAAGAAACCCTAATTGAAATTTGGTGGAACTCTAAAACTTTGGGGAAACAAAGAAGAGTAAATCCCACTCTTTAAATACTGTCGTCTTGTATTCAAAACTGTTCCTTTTCAGTTTGTCTTTTCTACTTACTCTATTTCAGTGAATTTTCTATAATGTTTGTGATACTGTTTTTTGTGATGCTACTTTTGAACATGATTCTCTTTCCTTTTTTAAGAATACTGGACCGGTTTATGTAAGATGACTCTTTTCCTACTCTTCACTGAATTCAATGATCTTTTCATTTACAGTTGTTTCCCTTCTGCACAGTGTTTACAGAATTTTTATGAGCTTTTTTACAACTAGGCTCAACTATACTTATTTTTCCCAGGGCCAAGAATTTGGAGGTGTATTAAAAAGTGGGCCTGGAGAAAATGCTTCTGTGGAAAAACAAGGCTGTCATCCATTTTATGAATCTCTAATTGATGATCCATATGTTGCAGAAGTAAGTTACAGTTGCAGAACTCTGCAGTTTTTATTGAGATCTAATAATCAAGTAAAAGTTCAGAGTTTTTGCTTATATGTGTGACTTGAAATTCTATGCTGTAGTAGGAAAAAATCCAGAATTTAACAAAGGAAAGCAAATGAAAGAACTGAGGTAGGCAATAGCATGTGACGCAAGTGACTCAAAAGACAGTGCAGGTGTGGAGTGCATATGTCAGTTGTCTTTTTACTTCCAGTCTGAAGTCAGCTATGGAACATACCAGAACAATTCCTTGGAAAGCTTTGCTGAGGTGTTGCTGAGAACAGGGAAACTTGCGGAAACAAAGAGTGAACGAAAAGACCTACTTCCAACTACAGAAGGTATGGACATATTGTATGTATTCACTCCATATATAGTAAATACAGAAGTGTCTGTGGGTGGGTTTAAGTGTGGAGAATTGCACAGTATGATCTGAAGTATTGTTTGGGTGTTCTGCATGAATTGTGATCTGGTTCAACAGCTCTTGTTGATAAGAAGTCTTGTTAGAAGTACCTGCAGTTTTCAAAGGAATTGGTGATTTTAAGGGGAGTTGCTCAGCAAAGACTAGAAAAATGAAAGTTGTCTTTAAATAAGCAGAATGTATTATTTGGGGGTTGGCAATCATAGGAGGAATTGAAGGTTTTGTGAATATTACCATGTACAGGTAATGGGAATTTGCAAGCCAGTGTGAGTTATTTCTCTGTATGCCTGCATATTCTATTGGTCAGATTCTGTGCCACTGTGTATCCAGGTTTCAGTATTGCAGGTTCATTGTAGTATTTTATTTGCCAATTAATGCTTAACTACAGCTTCTGGAATCATCAGAACTTTTTGTCTTCTTCCAAAATGTCTACATGTTAGAGGTTATATTTAATACTTTCTTAACTGAAGCAATTTCTCTTTTTAAAAAAAGACAAATGACAAAAAACCACCTGTGGTTGTTTACCTTTCCTTTTGGATGTCTCCTGCTGGTTTAAGAAATTAACTGTTTAAATATTTACACGCTAGTGTCTTTTGAAGGAAGATACGTGTATTATACTTGACTTGTGGTAAATTCTATAATGAAAAATGAGCATATTAAATCACTTGCTTTATGAGAAGTTTCAAGACAGGTTTTCTTCTTAAGCCACACATTTACTTAAACTGTTTCATGAAAAACCAGCATATTTGTCTTACAAGTATATGATTCAGTAGTTTGAGATATGTGGTATTTGTGCAGATAACCTGTGTAATTCTAATAGAACAACATTGTAAATCAGAAAACGTTAGCAGCAGCTTGTATAAATTTGGGTGTGTGAATGTTTTGTTCTTTACATGCTGTCTTAATGCAGAAAAATCCTTTAAAATCAGTACTTAAAATCTTATTTGTTACATGCTGAATGTCCATAGGCTTTTAGCTTTAATACCTGTGTCTTAAAGGGCAGGGGGGAAGGATTAAAAAGTATTTATTGCTTTCTTAGGAAAATTATTTAATTGGCAGATCTGTGGTAATAGTTCCTGCTCAAACTTGAGTAATTGGAACTGATTATTTACAATTCATTTGCTGCTTTTGAGATGGAAATTTCAGTGCTGGAGACTTTTGCTTGAAGAAGAAAAGAAATTTTAGATTTTAACTTCAGTTTTTGAGCATCTGTCTCCTTCCTCTTAAGTGCACAGCTTAATGTTTTTACTATTTAATGCTTCTCTTCCACCACTTTTATTCTGTAGTCAGAGTTTTACTTAGGAATCCCTCCAGCTGTGCTTTATAACAAAGTTCTTTTGGAAAAATGGGGTGCTTTATTCTGGACTGCTGTGTACTATACCTTTTGGTAGCCAGTGAACTGTTTTTACACATAAGTGTAACATAGCTTTCTGTAAATAATTGGATTAATAATTTGCTATTTGTGATGTGTTTAGCCCTGGATTAATAGTATTGGATCCCACCTGTTCCCCCTCTTTAAAGCTTTGCTTTGTCAATTCTCATGAAAGTCTTTATAATGAGTTAACACGTTCAGGATTGTGCAGCTTGAAAATGTGCATGTTGATAGCACACTACTGAAGTTTAAGAAACCACACAGATATGAATCCCACTTACTACTCTGCATTTTTATCATTTTCTGGCTTCCTGTATGTTTTTTGGAGGATTTTGCCATACAAAACTTGAATGCTAATATGAGGTGTCAGCCACTGTACTGGTCTAGTAAGTGCAACCATAGCAGATTTCAGTTGATTTTTCTGACAATTTTGAGTCCCAGCTGTTTGCTTCGAGCTGTCTTCTAGGACAGCTGCAGCAGCAGGTTTCAGCTCCATCAAAAGAACTGAAGAACCTGGAGGGAGATACAATTTAGCAAAGAAATTTTCATTGTACTTGGCACCTTGTCTTAGGAGACCTTGGAGTAGGCATCAGACTGTTTACTATGACAGTGCCATGTGCAGTGTGAGAGACTGGCTAAGCACTTTCCCCACAGACTGTGTGCATCATCGTTGAGTTAGAATGGTTTGGGTTGGAATAAACTTTAAAAATCCTCTCGTTTCAGCCCTGCCATAGGCAGGGATGCCTTCCACCAGACCACGTTACTCAGAGCCCCATTCAGTCTGGCTTTGAAAACCTCTGTAATAAACCTCAAGATATTTTTCAGCTTTTGTGGATTTGGTAGTGTTACAAGCCTTGGACCTTGACTTTCCTTGTCCTTACTGTCTGGATGTAGGTGATAAACTGAGTATTTGCAAGTGAAATGGTAACACTCATCTCCCTGGGTCCTGTAAAGCACTCCTTCCTCAGCTGTGGGCTGATTGTGCACCCAGACTTGTTGGGCTGAAGCTGTTTAATTAATTAACCGTTAATTAATTAAACTAATTAATGAAATTAAATTTATTAATTAATTGTTAATGTGCATCTCTTTTTAATTGGGGTTTTCATTCTCCATGGGCCTTAGGGATTGGTCAGGAGGTTGAAGATGTGATTTGAAATGATGGCTGTATGTCCTTGTAACCAGATTAAACTCAGAGTAAACTCAAGACAGTTGGGCATACCTATTAATCCTCTGGGGTTTTAGAGCAAATAATACCTTAATGTTCCCTGTGATTTTATATTTACTTGTACATATGGCTGTTTAACTGCAGTATATACTTCTAAATTTATTAAGATTTCATCATGGACTCAATGAACAATTGAGGACTCAAAGCAGTTTTTGAATTTCTTTCAGAAGAAAATCCATGGTACATGAAATGAAGCTTTCTAGGTATTGAGAAATTCCAGTTTTCACAAATGAACCATTTTTTCAATACTTAGCCTCTCAAACAAGTTTGTGGCATAAAGACCTGCAGAGGAAATATTTGTAAAATAAAAATATTTTTGTGTTTTCCCGAGGAAGTTGTGCTTGTGGGACAGTAGGGGGAGACAGCAGCATTAGCATTTTGCTTGTCACTGCCTGCCCTCCCTGGTTTGCCAACCCTGTAAAGTCTAATCCCTCTGGCAAATTCCAGATTTGGCAGTGGTCTGAAATGACATTAGGTTTCTGTAAATTTTGTGAAGATACATGATAGGACAAAATTTCATCCTGCTAATATCTGGAGCCTGTGATTTGAATTCAGCGCTGTTAGACTGCAGAGGATTCCTGTAGGGCTTCACTGGGAGGCAGAAAGCTGTATGAAATTATTTGTTTATATGTGGATATGTAAAGTGGACATCTAAGTATGGATACATAAAACCCTCTCATGAACACACTAGCATGCAGAAAATTTATTGAATCAGTACAGAGGGATTTTTTTTTTCTCAGAAGTTATGAGAGGCAGTTCTTTCTTCTTAGGTATGTTCTGGCACTTGGGATGCCATTGTGTCACTCTTGATGCAAGACTGTGAAGAAAATCATTGTTTTTGACCCTGTATTGGTGCTGCATTCTTTGTAAATATTGTCCTAATGTTGAAGATAATTTTTTGCAAGTGTGCCAGTTGCCATGTTGAGGATGTTAAGTTGGAAGAGAACCCATAATTTATTGTGTATTCAGGAGGCTTTACTAACATTAATTCTTCAAAGACAGGGAAAAGAGAGCAAAGCTGAAATTCTTCCTTCCCTTATCTTTTTTATTTTTCTGTTTAACTAGAGGTGGTTGTTGTACTTGTCATTAAAGGAGGAACCAGCAATCTTCATCAAGATTTTAATATTAGATATTTCTAGAGTTCTTACTGTCTTTGCTTGGACAGCATACAGGTTATTTAGAGTGTAGCAGAAACAATCTGTCAGCAGCAAGAAGCTGTCTGAAGCACAGTAAAAGCCATCTGAAGCATAAAGGATAGGTGCTGTTGGGTAGGCTTATGTGGCAGCCTCTGTGATGACTTGTCACATGGAAATTTAGTGTTTGTATCTGGCTGAGGGCCAGCATGTAAATCCACTTCAGGCTGATGGCAAATTAATGATAATCTGAAAATTGTAATTGGTCATTCAAGCCTTTTGGAAGTCATTCTTTGGAACAAAGAATTCACTGGGGGAGTGTGTGTAAAGTAATTGGGTTTTTACCAGAATGCCCCTGAGAGAATTGTTTTTTGCGTGTTTAGAATGATTTTTTACAGCAGAAAGCCTGTTTTGATATTCATACATTACGTAATGTGGAAATACAGGTGTTTGAAACTTCCTTGAAATAAACAAAGAGTTAAGTTGCTAGAAGATAGCTTCTTCCTATTGAAATAATATTGTTATTGATAACATTAGCAATAATGTAATCTACAATGATGGAAACAACCCTTCCCTCCTCAAGTTTGATATTTATAATGTAGTAAAAGCATGTGGTTTTTGTGTCAGTTTTACCAGAAGTATATGTGTTTATAATCAGAATACTTATCCTTAGATGAATTTATTTCAGTTGCTGTAGTACTGATAATTTGTTTTCAGTATTTCACAGAACCTGGTTTTGGTGTTTCTTATGACACTTGTGGCTTTTTGTTTCTATTTTTAATTAAGGCAGAATTTTTCTATATGGTTTATTGTGTTCAGTGATAAGGGAATTTGAGCTCAGGCTTGAAGAGAAGACATTTTGTACCATTCCTCTTCTTGGTATCTTCAAACCCTTACAGCATTACATTACTTCCTTGATATTGCAAGCAAAATATTTAGTTCTTGGAAATCAGTACAGGTGGCTTTGTTTAGCATCTGTTGCTCCATAGTCTCATTCTGCTTTGGTTAATGCATCAAACACTTTACCTGGAAGTTAAGGTGAAGCTGTGCTGCAGTTTAATTATACATTATCTCTTTCTGGATTGTGCTGATAAGTGTTTAATTAAGTGTGTCTGGAGTGCTTCAAGCTAGTGTCTAACAAAATATAGTTGCCCTGAAAACATTTCATTTGCTAGCTCTCAAGGCCAAATGGTCAGTAATCCAGACTTTGTGTTTGCTCCCTCTGTGTTGCAGTTCTGCTACAGCTGGCAAATGATGCTTTACCAAAGGATGCAGCCTTGTCTCTTGCCTACCTGCTTGCATTGCCACAGGTACGTTGATAGGGGCTTTGTATTGCCAGGCAAGTTTGCCAGGAAAGACTATTCATAGCATTCAGAATTCTATTAGAAAATTTAATTTCCTTAAGATTTTAAAATCTTAAGTGTTTGAATTCATTTTAATACACATTTTTACAGATTGGGCTGGTGCATATAAAGGAAACTGAACAAATGCCATTGGCTGGTCCATTGAGCATGGCACTGGTGAAAAGACACATTTTCTTACTTAAAATAGAAGTTGGGCCACCAGACTGACAATTCTAATTCAGAAATGTGGATAATAACCTTGTGGTATAGAAGCAGCAGTAGTGTAGTTGGAAAAACATTTTGGTTAGTGATTGTGCAAGGGGAAAAAACTACCATAATGTAGAATTATCTTTATGTGTGTGGGTTACTGATTTACATCTGTGCCAGAAAATCATAGTCAGAGCTATTTCTAAATGACAGCAAGTAGCTTTTTAGAAAGTTTGTACACTTAATGTTGTATGCTTGCTAATTCTTTCATTCAAATTAATGCTTTCTTTCTTCTAGGTGGTAGATGCCAACAAATGCTTTGAAAAGCAATTACATTCTGCATTATCTCTCCAGCTGGCAAGTTATTACTATAGCCTGCAGATCTATGCTCGTTTGGCACCATGTTTCAAGGACAAATGCCACCCTCTCTACAGGGTTAGTACTCTTTTCTTTTTAAAGCCACATTCATTAATGTTCAGCATAAAAGCTATTCTATAAAGCCAGTACATGAGTTAAGCCTGTTAAGGAGCTGATCTGACTTACACTGTGAGCAGCCTGTTGGGTTACGCATAATTATTATTCTACAGTGCTGTAAACAAACAAGTACTTCACAATATGTGGAAGAATTTTTGAAGCACAACATCAAGTGTCATTTTTAGGTAACAGCGCTATCAGTCTTCAATGTAGCTTATAGGCATTGAGCAGTAATGAGTTTAACCTATTCTGTTACCTTGCAATACTATGTACAAGGCAATGTAGTACTTCTCAGGAAAAGTGAAGAGTCAATTTCAACAAGAACAGTACTTTTTAGAAAGTTTCCATAGCCTCCCCTAAGGTGTGTTGGGTTGTATTTCAGTTTATGTATGGTGTTTTGAAAATTCATCCTCATTCATTAAGGAATTTTTTTATTTCCTTTGATGAGTTTCTGGTTTTGGAATGGTGCTACTTTTCCCATTCTCCGTTGCCGGTGGTTAAAGCAGTTTGATGGTGAAGTCCGTACTAAATGGAAGAGGTAACATACAAGTTTAATAGGGCACCAGTTGTCATTCTTACTGAGGTACCTTCATAAAAACTCTCATTTGCTCCAAGAGAGCGTTTCTGAATTTATACCAGCTCTTTCTTTCTGTTCAGAACTCTCTGGGCCGTTTGGGTTTCAGCATGTCGCTAAACTGCAGCTAAAGGAACACTTCTGGTCACAAGTTTTCTGAAAATGAAGTAATCACCACTGTGGCGTGAGAGAATTGGTTTTTCCTGTGTTAAGAATGACTCCTGATTTACAGCAGAAAGCCTGTTTTAATATTCTCCCAATTCTGCAATTAGGAAGCCTTTCATCTTCCTGCTGAGATGTTCATTTTACTGTCTTCTGCTTAGATGCTAAATGAAAATGTAGCCCACAACTGTAGGGCTTGCAAAATATATTAGTTGTGAAGAATTAAGTCATGTTTGTTAAAAAGCTTTCTTTGGGTCTGTACATTTTTCTGCTGCAAGACAACTTGTATGAAAAAAAGTTTGTGGGTTTTTGTGATTTTCTTTTGTTTTTTTTACTTTAGTTTTTTTAAGCAGTCCTATTTTACAGGAAGAACTAAGAAGCCTTTGGAAAGCATAAGTTATAAGAATGAGGACAGAGATGTTAGAACTATTTGTACTCCCATTGTCATTTATTAAGGAAAGTCTTAGCAGTGGCACCATGTAGTTTTTCTCATAACTGTGATTTGATCTTTGGCCGCTCTTTAGTTCCATCTTGGTAAAATGCTGTATGTGACTATGATAAATACTGGATTTCAAGTTGTTTGCTAGAAAGAGTAGGTTCTATGTTTAAGCTACTCTTAAACAATGGCTTTTGAAAACAATTATGTAAGAAGATTGAGTGAAGAGCACAGCAAAAAATGGAAAAAACCCACCAAAACTCTAGTAAGAAAACAACATTGGCAAATACTAATTTATAATTCATTATTACTAATTCCAAGAGTATTGAGTGAAGGAATGTCATTGAAATAGAAAACAAAAAATAGAAACAGATACTTTTCACCAAAATAAATGCAATTTTTTTTTTCCAAAAACCCAAACCAAAACCCTAGACTTAAATGGCCAATTTATATGGTGAATCAGATGTCTGTTTAAATTTACATCTTAAATGCTGGTAGTAAAGAATGGGTCCACCTGCAAATTGGTTTCATCAATACCATTCTAGTTTCTGTCCATGGGAATAGATCTAGCCATGGGTTTTGAGGGTTATTTTTGTGTTCCCTAAGAGTTCTGTGGGAGGAAAAGAAAATGGATCTCAAACTTCTATGAACATGTTACACTCAGTTGGAGGTGTCATTCCGTAGTAGATTGTTTTCCTACTCATGTCACTGGAGGCTTGTATCACCTTTATCTCGTGGCTCTTTGTGAAAGCAGAAGTGCACCCCTAGGTCCTTTACCTGCCTCAAAGCTGTACATCATTCTTAGAAGGTATGTGAGTGCATTTTTGTGGGTGAAGGTGTATAGCCAATCCTTGTTTTTCCCCATTCTCACTCTTTACATGGTCAGTAATGATGTAAATAGGACACTTCAGCTACATGCTCAAAAGGTGAATCCTCAAGATCATAGAGCATTTATTTCTGTCTGCTAGCATCTGAGTCACAGTAGCTGTGATTTTTCTAGTCCAGTGAATCAAGTGTACAGTTGGAAAACTATCTGAATTTAAAGGAAACTGTATAGTGGAAAAGTCTGCACAGCCTGGATTTCTCATTTTAAAATGACATTGTTTGAAAAGAGTTCATAAGTACTTGTGGCGGAACAGGAGAAATGTCGGTAGAATGGAAATGTCAGAGCATAATGTTACAAAGATAATGGGCAACAGGAGCTCCTCTTCCATTGGATAGGATATACTTTCAAGACTTGCTAGTTAGTCAAGAAAGAAATTTTGAAGGAATGATTGGGTCCGTTGTATGAAGGCTTGTTTATTTTTTTGTTTGGTTGTGATGTGAAATACTGACGGCTAATATCTATGCATCAAACCAGAATCATAAATTGTCAGAAAGTCTCACTATCATTTTTTGTACTGTTGATGCCCAAAAGGAGATATTCTTGATAATTTCAGTTCTTGGTGAAATTATTCCTACGCTTTAAGAACAAATAAAGGGATTTGGCTGTAAAGTATTGCTTAAATTTTGTGCCCAAGACAGTTTCAAATTTTAGTTGTTATGATAACATAAATGTAACAGTCACAGTTTAAGGCGTCTGAGCTATATTACTTTCTTGTCCTGAGGATTGTGTTAAAGGAGTTCTCCAGCCTAAGAAAACTGCAGATAAAGGTCAGAAGAACAGAACAAAATCTCCAGAAATGGACTGTGTGTGGAATGTACTGGTATGAGAAGACTAATTACCCTTTGAGGACCTATATTTATTTTTTGTTTAGGTCTGTAACAGGATGGGATTGACTTTTCATTGCAGCCCCTATGGTGCTGTGCTTTTGCATTTGTGGCTAGAAGGATTGGTAATGTGCCTGCTTCGGGTCTTGCTGAGCCTTGCTTGCACAGCATCAAGGCTGTTGCCCCACTACCACTCTGATTCACCTTTCACTAATTCCCAGTCTTGATGAACAAGAAGAAAGGCTGTACAACTGATCTAGAATTTTGTTGGGTAATTCTTTTTGTTAGCAGCTTATCTCCTCATTTGTCCTATCCTGGTGATCTGATAGTTGACCAGAATAAATTATTTACTCTAGAAGGGAGTGAAAATGCTTAATTATCTAGAGGTTAATTAAAATGTTACATTCCTGTCCTCATGCTAATACTCTGTTGCTGAGGTGTTTCTGTTGTTTTGAAGATGATTATTTTCCTGACCTCAGCTGAGGGGGCAAGCTTTTTCTTGGAGCATCAAATAACAGCCCCAACAAATACTGCTCAGTATTCTTGCTCAGGGGAGCAAGAATTTTGCACTCAATAGCAGATGAGTAAAGTTGCTGTTAGGAGAAAATTCTTAGTTTTTTTATTTTCTTCCCTTATATGTTACTTTTCATTCAAGAAGGTGAGTTTGATTCCTGTCCTTTTGTGCATTGCAACTGATGATATGTTGAACTTGTAAGCTCAGAGATTCTCCTTAGTGATGTTTCTCTTGTCTTGTTGCCTGGAATTGGTGAAGAAGCTGGGAGTTCAGCTCCACACAGTTAAACAGCCTGATATGTATTTAGCCACTATATGACAGGGCACTTTTGTACACTGAACTTGTGCTCTGTGCACTTAAGCTACTTCCCTTTTCTGTTGCTAGCTGCTTTGGAAGGTCTCTATCAACATCTCTAAGAGGCAGAATTAGGTCAGAAGGGGAGTGCTCTGAACTTGGGATGAAATGTGTAGAAATTTCTGTTGGTCTGTCAGGATTTCATTCTGCTGGCTTGACCTGGCTCCCAAGATGTTTTGTTGCTTGTTTGTATGAGGCTGGTATAAATTATAAATATGAATCCAGAGAACTGAAACTCCCAGCAATGGTCCATATGCTACAGCTTTATGTAATATTCCAAATATAGGATGTTGAAAATAAAGACTTAATTTGAAATTGAAATAAATATTATATAAGAAGGCTGCATACAGGAAAAAGGCAGGGAGGCAGATCTGTTGCATCTGATAACAGATGTATTACTCACACTACATGAGGACTTAATGGCTTTAACCTGGCACCCTAGTGCACCTAAAGGTTGAGTCTCTACATGTGAGGTAATCTCTAAATCTCTTATTGGAATGCTTATTAAATGGTTGCATGTTGGTTTTCATATCCTGTCACATTCCTAAATTATGACTTCAGCTTACTAGAGATAATATACATATTTTTAATCTCAACTTGATTAACGTACATGATGTTTTTTACATCATGTACATAACTAACATACAAAACTGACAAACTGGGTCATACAGTCTTGTTTTGTTTTGTCTGGACATTCAGCTTTCCATTCATAAATGCAATGGATAGCTGTAGATTGTAAAATGGTAGTGCACTTTATTTTTGGCCTATGATGGACTTAAAATTTGGGGGTTTTAAGTCCTGATTCAAGCCCTCATCTCCAGCCCCTCTTTCTGTTTTATTTGTGACGCTGAAAACTAACAAGTTGCATTTGGCAGTGTAATTTTCCCCCATTATTTCACTGTTGGAAATCTGTTGTATGTTCTGCATCAAGTTAACTTTCTTTGCTGGTCTTTGGGTTGCTCCACTTCTCTTTTATACTGCTGTTTTGCCTAATACTTCTTAGTATTTCATATCCTACAGTGCTTGCTTATACCTGTTCAGGTACTGGTACTCATTAACACTTGGTGGGTGAGTCTGTTTAATTTGAGGTATGCTTTTTTCCAAGTCCAGTGCATACCTGATAGTTAGAAAAGCAAAACTGGGTGAGATGAGTGTATAATTCCTTGAATTTATGTTTTGCTATTCTCTCTCCCATTGGTCTTCCTTCGTGT